GAAACACTTCATGGAGGAGGGAACATTTGAACTGATCATTCTGATTTTTATAAGAAAGTGGCAGCAGTAATTGTTCAGGCAGAAGAATCTGTGAACAAAGGCACGTAGGTAGAAAGGTTGCAGCGTATGGCCATGCCTGGAAAGGAAAGCAGTTTGTGGCTGGGATGTTGGATGTGCTGAGTATAGGGTGAATGATATGATGAAGAAGATGGTTTACTTTAGATTGTGAAGGAAGTTTAATGTAAAGTAGAAATTTTTACTAATTGTTGCATCTCATGTTTTATCTTATATCCCTGCATATTTAGGTCAGAATGGCCAAAGAAAGAGTACACTATGATGCTCCGCTACGTTTATTTTTAAACTTAGATACTCCAGTGTTCCCTAACAGCATGCTGTGCATCACACAGTACTATTACAAATGTTTAATAGCTGTTAGTGCATTGGTGAAGTGCTTGGCTTCTAATCCTAAAGTCTGCAGTGTGAGGACACCCAGTGGCTCTGTGGGAGACAGGTCTGGCATAGAGACTGGTAGTGGTGGTGTGCCTATAAAGAATATAGCCTAGAAAACTCCCTCGTGCTGTTGTACTCTATCACTGGGTCACTGGGAGTCAGAACGGACTTGATGGCACCTCACAACAAAAGCAACACAAATGGACACTGTTTTAAACTGACTTTTCACTGTTGTTCTTCTTAAGTGCTGTTGAGTCGGTATCAACTCATAGCGACCCTGTATAGGGTTTCTGAGAAGCAGCTGGTGAGCTTGAACTGCTGACCTTGCAGTTCAAAGCAATGTTGCAATCCAGCGCATTAACCCACAGCACCATATCAGGAGTTCCAAATATTCACAGAGGCAGATGGGAAGTCAGTAGAAACAACACTAAATGGGTTGTCACATACCCTGGGTTCTTGTTTTCACTCTGCTCTCAGATAAGTAACTTTCCTGAGCGCTAATTACTTCACTTGTTAAAAGGGTGGGCCATTTGAGTATAACTGAATTCTTTGATGACTGAGGGACCTTCCAACTCAGGAATTCTTGATTCTGAGAGAAGTTAGTACTTCAAATGATTAAGTACACAATTAAATGGCCATGTTCAGGATTTTCTGTGTGGTTGTAAAGTTTAAGTAAATCATGTTCCCCTGGAAAACTGTAAGTATGAAAAGAACAGAGATAATTCTTGCATTTGCTGCCTGTTCACTGTGCAGATCGAGGAACTGACCAGCAACCTACCGCAATTGCAGTCTTTGTCCGGTAGCACATCCTCCGTGGACAGCACCATCAGTGCTGAGACTGCCAGCCCCCCCAGCAAACGGAAGGTGGCTACCAAAATCCAGGGAAACGCTAAGAAGGCTTTGCTAAAATGGGTTCAGTACACAGTAACCAAGTAAGTACCAACTGTAACTGCAAATCCCTAAAGAATTTGGGTTATCAATTTATTACTGATTGAAACTTGATTGAAACAAGACTGCAGAAATTTGAAGAGACCATTTTACAAATGATGTTGCTTTAGTTTTTGTAATGCTCTTTCTTTGAACTAAAATATTAGCATAAATCCCTACTAATACACTAGAAAATGCTGTGAGAAAATGAACTCCCTTTCTCGTTTTCATTCATGGGATTGGGCCCCATAAATTAATCCAATTCCTTCTTATACTTTGATGAGCGGCAGGAGAGCTCGTTTTATGGACATCATGGATTAGAGCTGTTGCTTCTATTAAATAATGTTTTCACAAATAAATTAGAAAGTCACACTGTTAAATTTCTTTGCAAGACGCTCATTTAATAATGAGAACTAGCATTCACATTAAAAAAAATTATATTGGGTCTTATTTTCTGATGCATTTTTAGTTAGGTAATTACAGTTTTTTCCCTTGTGTCTTAGGCTGGGTTTTCTAGAGAAACAAAATCTGTGAAACTTATATATATGCACATGGTGGTGGTGGCTGTGCCGTGAAGTCGGTTCAGACTCATAGCGACCCTGTACCGGGTTTCCGAGGCTGTAAATCTTTACAGGAGCAGAAAATCTTATCTTTCTCCTGTGGAACAGCAGATAGTTTGGAACTGCTGACCATGAGATTACCAGTCTGATTTGTAACCACTAC